ACTACACTACACTCCACTACACTACACTACACTACACTACACTACACTACACTACACTACACTCCACTACACTACACTACACTACACTACACTACACTACACTACACTACACTACACTACACTACACTACACTACACTACACTACACTACACTACACTACACTACACTACACTACACTACACTACACTACACTACACTACACTACACTACACCACACTACACTACACTACACTACACTACACTACACTCACACTACACTACACTACACTACACTACACTACACTACACCACACTACACTACACTACACTACACTACACTACACTACACTACACTACACTACACTACACTACACTACACTACACTACACTACACTACACTACACTACACTACACTACACTACACTACACTACACTACACTACACTACAATTATGTATGTATATTAAAATGCTACTGAATAAGTTCTACTATATTTAAAATCAGGAATCTAGAAATTTGTTCAATAAAATTGTCTTAAACTGTTTTTTAAAAATTGACAGGTTTTCCTTTTGGATGTTATTTTCAATACTATAGTTCCACAGATTAATAGCTCTGACTAAAAAGGATCGCTGTCCTGTGCTTGTTCTGCAAAGTTGTTGTTTTATCTTGCCAGATGATTGAAATCTGGTATTGTATCGGTGTGTTTGCTCACACATGTTTATAATATTGGAACACAGATAGGACGGTGCTATCACTATAGTAGGTTACCCGGTACATATAGCGGCGGAAGTAATTAGTATGCAGGTGACGTCAGCAACTATTTTGTCGCATGACATACGTCGCGCGACATGAATTGTCGCATAACATGTGTCGCGCGACATGAATTCACCTATTCAGCAATAGCGACGCCATCTTGAAATTCCAATTCGGCGCAATGCATGCTGGGCTATCCAGGGTGGTTGTTGAGTTTTTGTTTCTGGGGGAGAATTATTCTTTTCTGAGATTGTCGGAATATTTCAACACTACTAAAACGTTTAATAAAGCTAAAAAAAGCCTAAAATAACGATGCCGTTAAATGAGAAAGATGTACAAGGTTGAACAGTTGATTCTTTGAGAAATTTATCTCACAACTCGTGTTGTGAAAGTGGCTGGAGAGGATAGAAAGGCGGATTTAATTCGAAAAATTCTCGTTGCTTCTCTGTTGAATCTTCCTGAAGCACCGTCTGTAGACGAGAAATGTGAAGATCTTCAATCGGAAACACTCAAATCCCAACCCTGGACTCTGGAAACAATAGCATCGAGTTCAAGTAGCCCTAGCCTGCGAATACAGACGCCTCACATCGGGCGAAATGTCTCCCTCGGGCGCTACATTTCGCCCGATGTGAGGCGTCTGTATTCGCAGGCTAAAGTAGCCCTGACAATTTCAATGCATTGTTGAAAGAACAGAGGACACAAGAGAGTATTTCCAAAATAGAAACACTAACAACAGGTCAGAGCTCAAACAATCTTTGGTTTGATTATCGGTGTGGTGTGATTACTGCCTCTGTAGCACATGAAGTCCTTTGCAAGTACCGAAGGAAAAACCCCACAGCTTCATCCATAGAGAATCTTGTTGGCAAGATACTGGGTTACGAGAAACCACTTAGGACTGCATCTCTGTCATGGGGAATTGAAAATGAGGCTGTTGCCAGGAAACGTTATGTTAGGCAGAATAAATCGTCTCATAAACACCTGAAATGTTATGAATCTGGGCTAAAGTTGCATCCTGAGATGGTCATGCTTGGTGCCAGTGTGGATGGAATGGTTGAGTGTTCATGTTGTGGTGACATATGCCTGGAAAGTGGAAATCAAGTGTCCATTTTCACACAGGGAGAAGACTGTTGGAGAATACTGTATGTTCAACAGCCTGATTCTTGTTTAGAGAATTTCCTTTCAACAGATACCAAGTACCGATTAAAGCCTGGGCATAAATATTACACACAGGTTCAACATCAATTATTCATTACTGGTTCTTCATCTGCTGATTTTGTGGTGTATCTGCCAAAGGAATCCTGCACTGTAAGTGTAACAAAAGAAACCAGTTATTCTGAAGTTTCCGTACCACTCTTAGTAGATTTCTTCCAACATCACCTGCTGCCTGAATTACTTGGTCGGGACATATTAAAAAAGTATATTTGCAAGGAAATCCTACGTGAAATTGTAAAAATGCAACAAACATTGTTGATAATAAAAAAGTGCAAAAGAAGTTAGATAGTTTAGCATCTGGTGTCACTTCCAGCACTGTACATCTGCCAGCAAAGAAATCAAAGAAGACCTGACAGACTATAAATAACCAAATTTAACACTAATAAGACCAAATTACATAACGTCAGGATACTGATTGTAATTTGGGTTTGACTGTCCTAATAATATTATTGTACTGGCATTGTTATCAGACTTGCAGATCTAGTAATCATAATGTGGGCATTGCAATAAATGAATGACAATTCAAGATAGGCAATCCAGGGGTAGATTTTATATGGGGAGGGGGGGTGTACAGTGCTAAGCACCCCTGTTGGCCTTGGTCAACAGGGGTGCAAAAAAATCGAATTCAGAAATATGGCACTTTTCCAAGGTTTTTCCTTTTTTGAAGTCAAACTGAAGCTCATAATTCAATGCCCATATTGCAGGAAATGGCATTTCTAGGGTTCTAATTTTAAAAATTATCCAGGGGACATACCCCTGGACCAGTGAACTCTAATAATAACTGGAAGGCTAACTCCTATGATGAAAGTCTATGATTCGTTGAAAATCGTTGCGGGAAAATCAGCTTTCAAAAGGACTAAGGAGAGTTTCGAGGAGTGAAAAAAATTCTGTCAAAAGTTTGTTTTCGAGCAAAAATTTGCAAGAAAAACACTTTTCCCATGGGAATACAACAATGATTGGGATTTAAACCAAGTTTCCGATTAGTTCCGACTGTTTTACATCTCTCTGCAGCAAAAAGTAAGGAATTTTGCTTTTGTATTTTGAAAAAATGACGAAAGTTTGGACGTGCCGAAGGAAATCTCGCCGTTCAACTAAAAAATATATACTATAAAACATTTTGACAGTCCCAAAACTTATGTTGTCCTAAACCCCAGGTATTGTTGTTGATCCTGAGCTTTTAGTCCTTGTTTTAGTCGCTCTTAAACATAAATAAATTGGCGTTTTTCAAGTGATGTTATTTTCGTCATCGGCATCTTGTTGGCCACTATGAGCACTTTGAATATGGCAATATTTTTGTCAATTTTCAAATGCTTTTTTTTCGACCTTAAAACGTTAAATCTTCTTGACACTTCGCATACAGATGTATTTTGCATGGGTATAAAAAATTCCTGAGCCGGGGCCGGCTGAGGTATGGCGTCTTAGTTTTATCTTAAACTTCCAAAAACTCAGAAAAAGCAGCCTAAAACGCGCGGTTTTTCAGACCGTTCATGCTTATGGTCGTGTTTTTCGCATTTTTTTTTCTAATTCGTGATTTGTTTGCTTTGCGAATATTAAATTCATTTATCATACTACTGATATAAATTAAATTTGGTAGTATAACTAATATTTTGGGGCAAGATTTTTCTGATCAAAAAATGTGCATATTTTGAAAAAAAATTTTAAAAAGGACTGGGTCTACCTACAAAAAAAGCTTCAAGCACGGCTTCAACTTCCCCCCTGACTTAGCCTTCCAGTTATTATTAGAGTTCACTGCCCTGGACCCCCTAGGGAGCTTGCGCCTTCTACGCTCAAGTCATTAGGAAGCCAATTCATTTGAATGATCTCCTACCACCCCCTAATGAATTATAAAGAAACACTCGGCTGCTAACCCAACACCCCCAGGCAATTTGCTAGACAACTCTTGTTATCTACTGTACATGTACACAATGCACTCCTATTTTTAGATTATTGGTATTCTAATGCCAACCAACCAGAGACGGATTTTCGTTCGGGGGGTGGATAAATATCTGGGGGGGAGTGCTGCTGCTTGCTTTGGTCGGCGCCAGTATAGAAGAAAGACTCACAAATAACGAACGATAAAACTATATGTTTTTACAGAGCAATTCGTATTTTAGAAAAAAAGGCAAGCAGTCACGTGAGTGACTAGCGATAAACCGGAAGTTCCGGTGTTTATGATAATGTCAATATAATTACTGCTGTTAAATAAACAATATCAATATGCCATTTATGGCGTGGTATCTTCTTCTTCTTAACTTAGTGTCAACGAAAGATGACTGTTAGTATAACTACAATATAAACAATTTACGTAATACTTTGTTCTCTAATATCCATAATAATCTGGAGACTGGCGTTTGCGTTGAGGGCGCTGAGTAGTGGTTGGCGAGATGCTGTTGTCGGCTGGAGTTGTTAACGTGGGCGGAACGTTACTTGTCTGATATGGGCATTCTTCACACACTTCTTCATCGGAACTGTCCCTGTCACGATGGGGATACGGTGTACTCGATATTGACCGGTTTGGGACGATCAAGCAATCAGTAGTTTTAACTTTATACGATGTAGCACGCAGTTGATTACCTGAAAATTTCTTGATGACACACCATGGGTCTTCCACAGATATGACCAAGTATCTACTGCGGGGTTGTGTCTTATCTCGCTCAGCGACTAAATAAACCAAGTCCCCGACGTTAATTGTAGGAGGTGCAAACGAATTCCTATTTCGGTTTTTCGATTTCTCACTATACGGGTGGTTTTGTTTTCGTTGTAGATGTTGCTCTTGGATTACTTTGCGATCACATATGGGAAGTTGATCATGAGTGAACTGATCTCGCTGTGTCCACAGCTCGCGAGCCGAGAGTCCTTCTCTCCGGAGGCGGGAATTTAGTCGAGATGTTGCGATGGCAAGGGTAACAGTCGATATTGGACCACCATTGGGTGCTTGGCGGAGGATTTCTTCTTCGAGTTCAGCGATGGCCTTCTCTGCCACTGGGTTTTTATTAGTGTTTTTAACGCGTCCGATCTCTAGGGATAAGCCGAGGCGTTTAAGGGTTGGGTCGGTTCGCAGTGCAACAAAACCAGGGGCGGGGTCGACTCTGATGATGGCCGGTGGACCTTCCAGGGGGTGCAGCTCGCTGCATAACTTAGCTAGAGCATCACGAAGTGTGTTGGCTTTCTCGTCGTGGATAATAGACGTTGCGGTAAAGGATGTCGTTGTTTCGCGAACGACTATGATAGTTTGTTTACACCGCTTTAAGACATCTGCGGCAAATGAAACTCCAACGACCTTGGGAGGTTCTTCTGTGCTATGCTGTACAACTTGAGGTGGGAGCTTTTTCAGGGAGGCACACGTGTGACATGTGTCACTCACATGAGCGATGGCAGCTGGCATGTCAAGTGCGAAGAAGTTGCGTCTCATCACCAGTTGGAGTTGGTGTTTTGACGGGTGGTCGAGTTTGATATGTAAGGCTGTTACAAGACCGTCAAGTACGGAGCGTGGTACTACGATCAACTCGGTGGAGGGTGATAAAGGATCGGTTCTACGAACCACTAATAAACCATCTTTGGCAATGGACAGGGAATTTAGGTAACGTTTAACATCCTTTACATTTGTTAATTTCTTAGAGGGACGTGTTCCTTGTTTCAGGTGAGCATGTGTTCTGCGTAGGTCGGGACACTCGGATTGTATTTGGATCCAGGCAGATCGGGTTGTAAAAGGTAAGCGGGGAGGTGGTGTACGTCTTGGACGGAGGTGGATCGAACTACGGAATCTTCTGTGGTTGAAATGAAGTTACAAATTTGGCATTTCGGTTCATTGCACTCTGGTGCGTTTCGACTGGCGAAATCCGAGGGAACATTCGCTGAGCCAGCGAGGTGGTGTATGTCCGCTTGGTACCTGCTGACGATGGATAAAAATGACGTAACACGGGGGCTCGCTGAAAATTCACCTCGACGCAGTTTATCGATGGCTTGAACACATGGCTTGCTATCTGTGAGGATACAAGCGGGGTGATGTGATTGGATTATGAAAGGGCTAAAATGCTTCACGGCGGCAGCGATGCTTAATGCTTCAATCTCACATGGCAGCCAGTTCACCTGATGCTTTCTTAACTTGGCACTGAAAAATCCTGCGAGGAGGAGGGTTTGATGGCGTGATACGTAAAGGGTAGCTCCGATTCCTCTTTTGGTTACAGAGCCATCGGTTACTATCCATAGTTTGTCGGATGGTTTGGGAAGGGTAATAGATTTGTTATTCGCCAGGGAGGATTGAGCGAACTTGAATTGTTGGGACAGAGTATCTGACCACTTGATCTTGTCACATGATTGTTGTCCTGCGATGGCACTTTCCAATGGTGCAATGATGTGTGCACACTGTGGTACAACACGTCCGAGGACTTTGTTGGCTCCTATAAAAGAGCGAAGACCCCGTACCGTATCGGGAGGCGGACACGATGACATTGTAGCAATTCTGTGGGTGCTTGCGGATAGGCATCCCTGTGTCCAAATCCAGCCTAAGATGGTGGTACTGCGTGGGCAAATAATGGTTTTGGATGGAGAAAGCTTGATATTGCACTTTTGGAGGGCGTCTAGGATCCTCTTCCAGTTGATGAGCAGTTCCTCCGGTGTGTCTGCACCGCAGTACAAGTCGTCTGAAAGCTTTGCAGCAATTCCATCTTCTAGGCAATCACCGAGTATGGGACACATGAGCTCCTCGAGAGCTGTTTCTGACCCTGGCATGCCCATAGCTGATCGGGTGTAGACTCGAACGCCGCGGAATGGAGTCACGACGCCACAGTACTTCATGGAACCTTTAGCAAGTGGTATCTGATAGAAAGCGCTGGTAAGGTCGGATACGATGATGTACTTCCATTTGGCGATTGTTCGGAGGGTAGAATCGACATCGGGTAATAGAGATGGCTGTGGCTTGCTGTACCGACCAACATCAGCAAAGGCAGTGACTAGTCGGTGTCCTCCGCTTGGCTTCTTAATGAGGAATGATGGATTAAGGTATTCAACGGTTATGCCAAGGTTTTCAGGGGGCTGAAAAATGCCTAGCGATTCAAGCTCGTCAAATTTGTGTTGAAGCTCGACCAGCTTGTTCGGCGCATATTGGGGGAGTCTGCCTTTGCGTTGTGGTGGTTGTACTGGGCCCATATTTACGACAGCTTCAAAAGGACCGGCAGCACCGTTGTATCCAGAGATATTTTTATCAAAAACATCGTCATATGTAGATTGTGTTCGTCGGACCGAGCCTAGATTGTAGATTGTGTTCGTCGGACCGAGTCTATGGTCCCAGCTGGTTGTCTGGAGCCATAATACACGTTCTCGCTTCCTTGAATGGTGAGTTCTTGCTTGGATGGCCGGAGGGAGATGTCGTTGGTGATCATGAAAGGAGTCCCGGCTAGTACATCGACGTCCAAACTATCAACGACAAGTGCATCCAACTGCAAATTAAAGTGGTTACGGGACAAAGTCAAATGGACTTCTCCGACGACGGCTAACTGGGTAATACCATCTGCTTGGAGGGCTTTCTGAGTAGTCTTCTGTATAGTAGCTCCAATTTCATTGGCAATGCTGGTCTTTATCATACTGGTTTCTGCTCCTGTGTCTAATGTCGAAAGTAGTGGGTGATGGGCATAGAAGGCCTGGAGATGGGGTGACTGCTTAACACTAACTCGGTGGTGGTAGTCTTGATTCGGTAGTTGTGGGAATCTTGTGGGTCTTCTACTTCGCAATCAGATAGCGGGTCTCCCGGTTCTGTGCCGACTACCTGTCTTGAGCGGGAGAGGTATTGCTTGTCTTCGACTGGGAGGTAGGGGCACCTACTCAGGTAGTGTTGGTGTTGTCGACCTGCTTGTTTACACAAGGGGCAACTTTTTGTTGGGGTTTTAGATGTCCGTGGTAGGGCTGTAGGGGTTTGACGGCGACTACTGGATTGAGGGTGCTTGAGGGATTGTTGGAAAGCAGTACGGAGGACTTTTGCATCGTTGGCGGAGTTAACTTCGTCAAGGAGGGAGTCTAGTGCTTGGGAAATTTCAGGTTTGAGGGACGCGACAGTTTGTGATCGAAGTTCAGCACCATAGCGCTGTTTGACTAGAGCCGGTAAAGGAGGATGGATAAGGCGTAGCCATGTCAACACAATTATGTTCTCCATTGTTGGGGAGATGTCTTCATCAGCTGTAACGTTTTCACCATGGTGTCGAATACCACCATCAGCTTTGAGCAAATTGTCATCAATGAAGCTAACAAGCTTTACCTTTGGTAAAGGTCTTCCGGACGCTCGTCAGCTTCTAAGTGAATGTTATTAAAGTCTAAGAAATGACCACCTGTGGACTGAAACCCAAAGTGAGCTCGAATTGATTGCCAAATAGTGCTCAAAGATGTCGAGTTTTTGACAATAGTATTTCGGGAAATTACGGGGCAATAATTGGCTATTTGGCCCAATATAAGCTCCAGTTGGGCTGCTTTTTGCTCTGCAGTACGACGGCGTGCTTCGGGTACAGTATCGGCATCATTTTCGAAACCGC